CAAGGCTAGCCGTCCACACAATTCCAGTCCAACCACAGATTCATCATTAAATACAAAAGCATGAGGAGACCGAAATTATTACCACACGATTTTCATGTCATAGAAAGATAATGCTTGACAAAAACATGAACACAACAACTGGAAAAAACATTGATTAAGCAGGCTTTACCAATTTGTTCCAAAACAAAAAAAGTTGTACCTCTCTAATAGCTGCCAACAAACTGCATTTGACATCACAAGAATTTATTATTTTTGTACATGAGAGGTACCTGTAACATATTTTGAAGGTGAAAGCACGGTGCCACCAAGCTTAACCCTTCCACTTTCATCTTCCAAAACCAAATGATCATCCGGATGCATGAAGTTGTGAGGCTTGACAAGAGGCACTGCAGATCTCTGCACATTGCACTCAAGTTTAAAAAATCAAACACCCTTGCAACGTACAATTTCTTTGTCAATTTCAAGAAAAAAAGATATAAATGACAACGTCATGAAATTCATTATTAACAACCAAATACCTCCTTAGAATATTCATCAAGGACACAAGGTTTAAGTTTCATGTGCTTGTACAGGGTCCCAACAATGATGCATTCCTTGCCTTCTTCCAACCCCAAAACTGTACAAACTACAACAAAAAGAAGCTGGTCAATAAAGACCACTCCATGCATCTTATAACAATGTCACATCATCACATCATTAAGAATCCAAACTACCTACATCCAAGACCTTTACAAATGAGGGAAAAGAAGAAATTGAAAAATACACCACTCAGGAAATTTACCAACACCATGTACAATTGGCCTCTGTCAATCAACATATCAAACCTCACAACCAATTCCATTGAAATACTAGGAGCAATTACAGAAAGACAAATTTTCCAAATTTTCTATGAAATAAATCAACAAAAACCAACAAAAAAATATACCAAAACCCTAAGCCCTAAATACCACCATAACCTACAGATTCCCTCTTACCTACCAACCAATCAGCAAAATAACAAGAAACCCACATAAAACCCCAACTTTACTCTTAAAGACAACTCAGTTAAAAATTAAAATGCTCTAAGAGAAACATATCAGAAATTACTCCTCCCCCACATCCAAAATTACAACCCTAAATCCATAAGTAAGCTAAAAACACAAATCAAACACACATCACCTAATAAAAAAAGAAGAAGAAAACTTTAACTTCAATTCAACAAGGGGAAAAAAAGGAAAGAAAGAAAGAAAGAGAGGTACCAGGGACATGGGGTTTCCAATGGGTAATGAGCGAGTAAAGCAGTGTTCTCATCAAGTGAAGACGAGCAAAGTAAATTTGACTATATTGCTGGCCTCTATAGGTCTCGTTTTGAATATCAAAGGTCTCATCCTGCAATTTTAGCAATTATAAGTTCACACTTCCTAGAAAACAAAAGGAAAAAGAAAGAAACTAATGACATTTTTGGGACGTAAAAGAAACTGAAGAAGAATGAGAAAGAAAGAGATAATGGGAAATAGCGACCAGAGATTGGTAAGCGGAATGCTTTCTCTGGATATTTTTCTCTCTGTCGATTTCCATTCCAGTCATGGCGGGAAAACGGAAACAAGTAGCGGCAGCAGCCAACACTGAGATTATATAAGTTTGTGCTCAAATATATTAGTTATATAAAATGTTCCTAGAGAATTCACAAGATGGGGATGTAGCTCAAATGGTAGAGCGCTCGCTTTGCATGCGAGAGGCACGGGGTTCGATCCCCCGCATCTCCAATATATCGTCTCAGGATTGCTTTGTTCCTGGTTTTACCTCATTTTGCTTAGCTGGTGGGAGGCAAAGGAGTTCGTTTTTTAAAATATTTTTAGTATAAAAATATATTATAATTTTTTTTATTTTTAAAAATTTTAATTTTAATATTAATGTATTAAAATGATCAAAACATAAATATTAAAAATTTAATTTAAAACCAAAAAATCATTCAAAAATTTTTAAATCCACAACCATATTAAATAAAATCTAAGTTATAATGTAATTTTTTTTTTGTAGTGTTTAATAACGCGGTTCAAATATTTAAGATAAAAAATTAAGTTTGTTTTATTTAAAATTATTTTTTTTATTATTTTAATATATTAATATTAAAAATATTTTTTTAAAAAAATATTGTTTTAAAATATTTTTAAATAAAAGATATTTTAAAAAAGAAAATCATTGCAACAATATCAAAGCCTACCTTTGTGTTCCACCAGCCTCAGGAGCAATGACACGATTCTCTTTTCGTCACCCTGCTTGTTCCTCTCCACTCGAAACTCATGCGTCTTTCTTCTCCAAGTAAAATACTTTAATCCTTGCACGCAGTTTATGTTAAATCCCCACTTCTTTACACCTAAAAACCACATATTTTCAAAATATTGGAAACATCACAAATCATGGGTTTTGTCTTAATATTTTCTCAGTTTATTTCTATTTTGTGTTGTATGTTTTGTTTTAATTTTAAATTTAAAAATATTGAATTAATAAATACATACCACAGTTTTACATGAATCTTACTGAAAAAAATTAAAATTCTTAGTTAAAAAAATATTATAGGTTATAGTTTTTCTAATATTTACTGTTTTAAATTATAATAAAAAATTACCATAGTATCAAATATATACTAAAAATATTACTCCGCAACAAGAAAGGTGATAAGAATTACCATTTTTTATTTTTATTTTATTGTTAGCTAATTGAAAAAAACAATTTTATTGTACTTACAACTTTTAAACTTTTTTAAATAAAGTTAATTGTTTTGTTTAATATTTTCCTTTTATTAATCATATAATAACCTATTTAATCACGTGACACGTGTTTTGATTCATGTTTTTCTTTTTATTTATAAACAAAAGACATTTAATGAAATTATAATTAGCCATAAAAAAAAAGACATTTAATGAAATTATAATTAGCCAAAACAAAAAAGATTTTGAATATCAAGCTTAAGAAACAGGTGGTGGGTCTTGTTACATCTGACCACATGAAAATTTCCGTATCTTCTGTAGCAGTTCATCACCTCTAGATGAAAACAATCCTTCCATCTTCTGTAGTGGTTCTGCAGCCTTCACTTATGCAGGGTAAAACTCCTTGAAAAAAAATCAGGTTAGCCGATCATTATCACACGAGTAACTAAGGGAGATAAGTATAGATTGCATGCAAAAATTAAAGAAATAATTTAATTTTTATGTTAGATAGGGTGAGATTAAATCTACCCATTATTAAAACCAACCAATAACTCTACTTTTCTACAAGAAAATTCATTTTAATACTAATAAATTTAACTCCTCTATTCCCGGTGTGTGTGTTTTATTGTTTTAGAAGTTTGATAATATATTTTTTAATGAGATTGCTAATAAATTATTAAATATCAAATTCATCTTTCAAGTTTGGATTAAAGTAAATATATGAACTAAATTAATTGTGAATTTTTCATTAAAATAACTAATAACTAGTTTTATGACATGTCTTTTAAATCATATATTAAATCATTCATTTTACTACTAATAAATTTAACCCCTCTATTCCCGGTGTGTGTGTTTTATTGTTTTAGGAGTTTGATAATATTTTTTTTAATGAGATTACTAATAAATTATTAAATATCAAATTAATCTTTCAAGTTTGGATTAAAGTAAATATACGAACTAAATTAATTGTGAATTTTGCATTAAAATAACTAATAACTGGTTTTATGATATAGACATGTCTTTTAAATCATACATTAAATCAAACTAACTAAAATATTATAAGAAAAATTTAAGTTAATTGAAATTCAACAATATATTATGTAAACTAGTTGCATTTGCTTTTACTATTTTGACAAGTTTATTGATAAAATATTCTTTCTTGGAGTTCTTAGTGTGTATTTTAAAGGACTAAAATAATTTTTTACTTTAGATTTGTGTGGCTGCCACAAGCTATATAAATATTTTAGTTTCAATTATATTTTATTTATTTTGGTTTGTTTGGAGAGAGTTTTTATATTTTTGGATTTAATTAATTAGCTAAAACTTCATATTTGTTTGAATTTTTTTAACCATGACCTGTAGACTTGTTTAAATTTATGTTTTCACATGTATTAGTTTAAGTTTTTAGTCATTTTTATAAGTGAGTAAATTTATAGTTTTATTAGATATAAATATTTTAGTTTCAATTATATTTTATTTATTTTGGTTTGCTTGGAGAGAGTTTTTATATTTTTGGATTTGATTAATTAGCTAAAATTTCATATTTGTTTGAATTTAATTATTAATTAGTTTTTAATTATGACACGTGGACTTATTTAAATTTATGTTTTCAGATGTATTAGTTTAAGTTTTTAGTCATTTTTATAAGTGAGTGAATTTATAGTTTTATTAGAATTTATTTTCAAGAATATAAATATTTTTTATAAGGATAAAATATTTAAACTTAATAATATTATTTTAATAATATTATTGTTGCTGAATTTATTTAGCTTGTGTGAGAGAGATCTTTATTTTCTTTGATTATCTTGGGAGTTAAATTGATTTATAAGAAATTAATTGGTTTTGTATTTTTTTTTTATTTTTTATAGGCAACTTAATATTTACAATATATAAGTTTTTATTCTAATAATAATAGTGTTTAATGATATATTTTTATTATATTATACTCTTATAGTTTTTTTTTTAACTTTTATTGGTTATATTTTAACTTTATTAAAGGGTTGCTTGATTATATAATCAATAAATTTGCATAATAATAAAATGTATTTTTTAAGATAAATTTTTTTTGTCTAAAAAGAACATTGTATTATTATTTTTTTAGTGTATTTTTATAATTTTTATCTGATAATATAAAAAATAATTTTTTTAATATATTCTTAATTAAAAATCATTTTAAAAGCATGCTTGGCCCGTTACCAAACGCACCATTACTCTCGTTATCATGACCCAGCTACCCTACTTTGAGTACTGTAATTTCCCACTTCGAGGCCCGATAAAACCACATGAAACGAAACGTGTTTTCTGCTCTCATCACTTTCCAATATAGAATTATTAAAATAAAATAAAAAGGGTAAAAACCGGTTCCTGCTCGGAGCAGGATAGTACACACGCACACAATTCACAGCACTGAAAGAAAGTCTCCGCAGCTCGTGGAATTTGGATGGCTTCTTCTTTGTCGTCGTCGTCGTCATCATCTTTAATCCAAGGAGGCTCACTTCCTTCATTCTCTGCAATTCGCTCACGCCATTCATCTTCGGCACATTCTTTTCTATGTTTGACCAAGTTACCGGATAATGGCCGGAGGAGCTCAGGCTACCGTCGAATGGCCTGCACCGCTATGGTACAACAGCAGGCTATACATGGGGCTTCAGCTATTTATGCTAAGGAAATGGAGAGACTCTCTGCTAAAGAATCTCTGCTTCTCGCTGTAATTACTCCCTCCCTTCCTGAATTATAAGAAAGTTTATTCATTTCTCTGTATTGAAGTTAAGTTCGATGCAATTCGATGATTTTGACCTACGGTTGAATGCTTTGGAGTGGATAATCTCAAATCCTAAAAAAGTTAAAGTCATTTCTTAGTTTGCAGTCAGTGGATTCAAAGTAAGAAATGAATTCAAAACGGAGATTTTGTGCAAGAAACTGCTTCTTCTTTTTTCGTGTGCGCGCGCGCGCGCGCGCGCTGCAAGAAACTGCTTCTTCTTTTTTCGTGTGTGTGCGCGCGCGCGCGCGCTATGCCAAACATAATAAAATCCCCAATTCCTGAAGCAGAAAATGGGAAACCAAACATAATAAAAGGTAGAAAGCAAAAACCATGCTGTACAATCGACTAAAACTGAAGCAGCTAAAAAACTAGAGTACCAAGTCTCCAATTGCTGCGAAAAGAAAATGTCGACTCTGATCAAAATATAACCGCTGTAATAACCTTCGCTACCTGTTTTCTTTGTAAAAAAAAAAAAAACAATGTTCCATTTCCTTCGAGACAGCATATGTACAAAAGCTAGCGATTGTGGGATGCTAATTTTTGCAGAACAGACACAAATGACTCTTTCTCAGATTCTTCTTGGCCCAGATGAATTGTATATCCCAATCCCGTATGTAAGATTATGTGCCAAACAAATTATTTTTTGTATTTAGACATGAGAATAATAAGTGAATGTTCTTGCTCTCTGATGCTTGATTACATAGGATATAGACAGGATTAATGCTTCTCCCCGTACATATCTATCTCTCATTTGTTGATGCTACCTGTTTAGGATAGTTGATGTAGCTATAATACTGGTTCTTGGGAATGTCTAGAGAGGCCCATAACAGTTTGTGCCAATCAACCTGATCTGAACTGGAAAAGATTAAGCTGCAAATTTTGGTCTGTTATTCTGCCATTGCTTCAGAGTTTCAGGAAGCCATTATCAGTCATTTCCTTGAATAACAGAAACAACTGTTGCATTCCCTTGGATACCAAAATGAAAAAAAAAAACCTTTTCCCACAAGCCTTTATCAGTAGGCCCTCGTTGCCAATTGTCTCACCAACAGAATGTCATTTTGACACTATAAATAGCATAATCAATATGACTCCAAGCTAATGGCCTAAGATTTCTCCAGCTTTGAAAGGAATCCCTTGGCAATTTCATAGTCCAAGTGTTTTTGCTTCCTTGGTTTTACTAGTTCACTAATTTCACAGGATTAATGCAATAGTTTGTATAGCAGACAACAAAACTCTTGCTTTAAATGTAGGTCATTTATGGTTTGTTTCATTAATGGAGTAAATAGTATTGCTTTGGAAACTCTTGATGTTTGTTAAAGGTTTTTTTTTTCTTTTGCATGTCCAATGATTTAGTTCAAAGATTCTGGCGGTTTTGAAGCTTTGGTCACTGGAAAGACAACAGATATGCAGCGGATTGATGTTAACGAAAGGATAAATGGTCTTGAGCGGCTCAATCCAACTCCTCGACCAACTACGTAGGTGCTTAACAAAGCACTTCCATTTGCTTATATGTTGTTTTTGTCATTTTTTTTGAGATGTCTACTTGTTATTGAGCTACTCAGGTCACCGTTTTTGGAAGGTAGATGGAACTTTGAGTGGTTTGGAGCTGGAATCCCTGGTTTATTTGCTGCCAGATTTATATTCGAGTGAGTACCGATGGGTCTTTGTTTCTTATCTTCATCTTCCATCCTTTTCTATTTCCTACAAGGAATGTGATATTTTTATGGTTGCAACTTATATGGGAGTTTTTACTTCACTGGGTTAGTCAATTTAAATGACAGTTAATTATCTTGGTTGTTGCAGGAGATTTCCTAAAAATTTCGCTTATTTGTCTAAAATGGACATGGTGATTAAGGATGGAAATGCAAAGGTTACAGCAAATATGAAACTATTATACTCGGTACCCTTCTATCTTTTAATGCTCTTGTTGCAATACTTGCAAAATTTTAATACCAATAATAGGATTAGAGAAATTCTCTTGCACTGAATTTCTTACAAATAAAGGAGAAAAGTTTGTCATACCTCTCATGCAGTAAGCATAATCTTCCGGAGATGCATACTTCATGTAGATGTTGGGTAGTTGTATTGAAATCAAGGCTGAAATTTATGCTTGATCAAAATCACACCTCAAAATTCTGAAGTTCTCAACATATATAATAACAACATACCTATTGATAATAATATATGTGTAACAGAAATGTTCTCCCAAACAATTACTTGATTCAACCTGCATGTAAATGTCATGGAAGGTTTGAAGTTATAGCAAACATGAACCCATCCTTGAGATATATCACCAATCTTTTCCAAGCACAGATGAAGACAACTTCCAATTAATAATGGTGTGACTATTTTATGTTTGCTCTTGTATATTTTTGAGCTTTTGTTTGAATTTTTCTCTTCTGTGTAATGCAGATAGAAAGCAAATTCATTCTGCTCTCCAAGTTAACTGTGGAGGGACCTCTTAGAATGAAAGAGGAATATGTTGAAGGGATTCTTGAGACACCTACCATCATTGAAGAAACAGTACCAGAACAGCTAAAAGGTGCATTTGGTCAGGCTGTCCAAACAGTGCAACAACTTCCTGTTCCTATTAGGGATTCCTTTTCTAGCGGGCTGAAAATTCCTCTAAGTAAGCATTTTGATGTTTGGATCATTTTCTCTCTATCTTATTTGAGAATTCTCCTTCCTAGCCAACAAAGAAGAACAGGGTACCTCTAGACCTCAGTCATAAAAGATCTGAAGCTTTAGCCATTTTGTTCTCCCCGTACCCCAGCCCCTTCCTACCATTGTCTTGGTCATTTTGGGGATTCTCCCTTCTAGTAACTCATTTAGCTGTAATTGTAGCTTGACATTTATATTGCTCATCTGGTCTACCTTTTCAGGTTGTTTAACTCTTTCTAGGAAATGTTTCTGCTATTCTTTTATGAATAAACTAAAATTTTGGGTCAGAAACCTAGCCCAAGATGTTTGTAAATATCATATGCATCGCTGATGTTTTCATTTGAATTTCTTCTTTGTAGATATATAATAGTTTCCAAACAAAAAACTGTTTTTCTTTTTAATTCATCGTTGATTAGTTATTTATGTGTACTCTTTTTTGTGTGTTTGTGAACTTTGTTCCGTTGCTATACCAAGGGCACTTTTTGAGAGCACTGATTGGAGGTCCTGCTATGTAAAGAACCTCAAGGCTGGTTTCCAACACTCTTCTGTATTCATGAAAGTTGACCCTGCAGCATATATCAAGACTTGATTAATTGCCATACCATTTATGTGTGCTGCTGTTAACCACCTGCTTGTGTTGTGTTAGACCTACAATTATGTTATAGCAATTTAGCATTATTTCAATCTATGAAGTTTCACAGGTCCAGAAATTCCACTCTTTCTATTTATTGGAATCCCTTGAACTTGGAATACGAGATGATGATATTGTTTCAAAGTTCTACCTTTTTCTTTTTTGTCACAGTGGCAGTTACTCACTGCTAATATCCTGCTCGGTACAACAAGTTTTAAATGAAAAGAAACTCAAATTTCAGGGGTTATAAACTTATAATACGTCATGATGCCCTGTGCTTTTCGTGCTTGGATTTTTTAAATTGCTAAAGTTTATTTGTCTATGCCTGCAGCCAGTACTTTCCAGAGACTCTTCATGATTTCGTATCTTGATGATGAAATACTTGTAAGTACTCAACTTGTTATAATTTATCATATCATTCTGCAGCATAGAATTTTTTCCCTTGAATTATTATTCAAATGTTCTCATTGCAGAAGTGGATGAAAACTGCACATAGGATGAATCTGCCATCTGAATCTTGTTTCAGTAGCACATCAAGAGTAGTCTTTGCACAAATTTTAAAAGGAATTAGATATGAAAATGTCAAAAGTACATGCCATATTTCATTCTCATGCGATAATAAACAAAAAAGGAGCTTTACGAATTCTAGAGGACTATCTGTTGTATTTATTAACTTGGGAGCCCTATCATGGATGGATGTCTCCATCTACCAAGATTCATGAAGGCTCATACATTCTCTCCCAGCTTTTGTCTCGGGTCCCTTATAAGCAGTGGCGGATCCTAGAAGGCACAGGGTAGGGCAATAGACCCCCTAGGTTTTGAGAAAATTACATCTTGGTCCGTGTGCTTTTAAAAGTAACCAATTTTATTCTTAATGTCAAACAAATTTGTTTAATTAGCTGTGTTCTTGTAAATAGCAAAATTGTATATTGGTTCTTGATTTTTATGAATAACATTTATGTGTATTTAGGAAATACATATGATGAAAGAAAATGATTGTTTTAAATCAAATATTTTTATAAAAATTTAGATTTTTTTTTAACGCACATGCAAAAATATTTGTTCAAGCTGATGAAAAAAACTCTATGCATGTGATTTCCACTAAAAATAAAATAAAATAGATAAACTATATCTATGAACAATAAAATAGATAATATCATATTATTGATCTTTCTTCCTCAAGAATTGTTCTCAGGATCCGCCATTGCTTATAAGGAGCCTGAATTTACCTATTTGGTTTTCTTTCATTACATGTTCCTAACTTCCTATCATCTCTTGCGAACATTTTATATTCAACACATAACATGGCGTTCACTACAGATATGGCTTGTATAATATGACCACTTGCACTGCTGTTGCCAAAAGGATGGTCATGCAGAAGTATCCATTTTGCATGGTCATAAATATATATTTGCAAACAAGAGGATAATTTCAAAGAACTAGCAGTTAGCTTTGTGAAAGATATGTAAGAACGTAAACCAGGAAAGTAGACATTATCAAAATTTGAGTATTTTTCCTGGTTTTCAACACAGATAGTAAGGGATGCTGCTGGAGCACCTGAAGTTCTTACAAGGCTGGATGCACCAGCCTCTCCAATGGCAGAACCAACTGCAGAGTATGAGAGCTAGAGATGTGAAAACTGACTGTTTATTGTTTTTTTCTTAACCTTCTAATACAATGTAGACTCAACAGCTTCCCTCGCATCACTCTCAATAAGACGGGCAGTCATTCCCTTTCATGCTTATTTGCTGGTTGGTTTCCATTCACTAAATGCTTGCTGATTGGAAATAAAATAATCCTTCACTGACAGAAGAAGTGAGGAAACTTTCTTCTTTAAAGTGTTCTCAAGGTAATTGCTGAGATTAAGTTGTTGGTTTCAATACAAAATTAGTGGGTGGATTTGTTTGAGGGTCGCTATCTGCGCATACTTTCAACCCTCGTGGTTCTTGTCCATCTCTCAAATTCACTGAATCTGCAAACTGTATGGTTCCATTCTATGCATAAAATTGTGACCCAGGGAATGTTTTACTGGTTCAAATTGAAAGCCTTTTGCCAAAAGTTGTAGAGGATTGAAAAAGATAATGAGAAAAGTTTGGTGACGAGTGTGAATATGATCTTGATTAAGCGGGGGCCGTGCTGTGTGACTCCATGCTTCGCTATAAAACCTCACCACATCAATTGTTTCAAAACTTTGCCTTTACTGATCATTTAATCCGTTCGTTTTTTATATTTTAAAAATAATATTAAAAAAATTATTTATTATTTATTTTAAATTAATATTTTTTAGTATTTTTAGATCATTTTAATTTATTAAGGTTAAAAATAATTTCTAAAAAATAAAAAATATTATTTTAATATATTAAAATAACATTTTAAAAAATAATCATTACTATATTTTTAATCACCTTCTTAATAACTAAGAGAGAGATCTTTACCCTATTATCCATGGTGTCTAGATTTTCCTATTCAGGACTTTCCGAAGACTACACTGGATAGATAGATATATTCATCCTACTTTTCCATTGACTTGAGCAAAAGAAATGGTTTGGCCATTGCCAACAACCATTAATAATGCAGGAAAACAATCATCAGTGGGAGGGAGTTTATCCAAGATTTATGGTACCAAATAGAAGAGTTTAGGTCATATAGTGTTTTGCATAATGACAACAATGATAACAATACTTTCATACAAAAAATAACAAAAACAAATAAATAACAAAGAAAGAAAATGGGCATGGCAAGCTCCATTTGTGGCCTTCGGAGACAATAAGGGAGCAAAAGGGTCGATAGTATTGATTGTAAGTTTGCTTAGCCCCTTTGACTTGCGTTCTGTACGTTCCCATGGGGGAAGCACGTCCATGATGATCATCTGTATGCAAATTGTTTTTGACTTCTCGAAAAATGGAGGAAACCTGTAGCCTCCCTGATTTATACTGCTCTGGCTTGCATCGATCGGGCTTTAATGGCAAGCTTTACGCATCAGAAACAGATATGCCATTTCCTGAAACAATCCCACTTCTAAGTTCTAACCCGTAATGCCTTCAAAACCCAGTGGAAGCTTTCCAACATTCAGTTAAACCTAATCCGCAAGTGTTAGCACAAGTTGTCAGGACTTGATGGCCTAGGGTGCGAGGAGTTCATGGATTAAAATCTTAGCTTTCCTTGCATAGCCTGTGAATTTCTAACCTCTTGTGCTCTGCTGCAAGTATAATGGAGCCTCTTTCTGAAAAAACGTTAGGGTTTTATGACCTCAGGCTGCCAATCCAAGCCGTGAAGTAGTTGTAATGGCCCAAAATCATCCACATTATCGCTTGTAACAAAGTGGTAGATTCTTCCTGTGGGGATTTATGGAAATTCATGGCCAAGTAAGTATATCATCTTGACATGTCTCAAATCACTTAAATGCTTGTTCATTCAAGAACAACACATAAGGAATAATAGTGAAAAACGATATTTTAATTTGCTGCTTGTTGCATGATTAATTGGAATCCAGGTATTAAGTTATTGTTTGTTAAATGAAAAGTGATTTCATGGAATTAACTCTCTAAAGTTACTTTCTAATATTTGTTTATTATTAAAAAAATTATCAATTAAAAACATGATTTCTAAAAAAGTATTTTTATTTTATTTTGGATGAAATATACTTTTTAAAAATTATAAAAAATTCAAAAATATCATTTTATTTGTTAATTATATTAAATTTGATCTTCGATCTTTTTTATTACTGTATATTTTGTTTTGAATTATTTTTATTTTAATTTTATTCTTTAAAATTTTATTTTTATATCAATTTTAATTTATATTTTTTTATTGTTATTTGTTTTTCTCTTATCATTTTCTTAATTGAAACATTTTTATTTTTTAATTTTTATTGCTATTTATCTAATTTGAAATAATTTATGAAATTCTGTTTTTTTAATTTTATCCTCTTCAACCTTTTCATTTGTCAAATTAGATGTTTATTATTTAAATAAATTTTAAAAAATAAATTAAAATATTAATGAATTATTTTTTATTTTATTTTCTATCACATAATCAAACATTGAAAATTATTTTTCATAAACTTATTAAATATTAAAAAAAATTCACTTTTTTAAAATTTATTTTTTATAAAAACTACTTTTTTATATAAAAAAAAATTACTTTGCAACAAAAACACGATTAACATTATAGAAACTTGTAGGTGGAATTATAATAAAAATTTAAGGAATGCTGAAAAAGGAACTGTACATAGACGTTGCTAATGACTACATTTTCTAGTAGTGTGTACATAGAGAGTGGCTCTTCTTTATCTCATTTTAATTTTATATGGTCACTCATAGCCATATCCTAACACATCGATACATTCTGTTGTAAGAAATTCCTAATTTAATTGATCATGACTGCAAACGATTTTACGCGGAATTTATTCCAAAAAATACTAGAGATAATGCACAATTAATGTACCAAGAAGATGAATAATTGAGAGACGACTAGCTGTAATAAAAATTAATTCTCTTGAAATGCAATTAAGTCTTGCAAGAAAAGTAATTTATTAATAATTATCATAAATGTGTTGAGAGTTTTGCACGTTCATGTTTGGTCTGCCAAACCAGACAACGTTGCTCTTCATCACTGATCAGAGAAGAGTGTGAGAGAGAGAGAGACCATAGATAAGGCGAAGGTCATAGCCACATCCAAATGAAAAGAAACAAAAGCAATCTACAGTAGAAATTCTTGGGAAATTATCACAGAAGAAAGAGCAGTTCCAGTTTACTTCTATTACATCCACATGGCAGAAGAATATGTATATAAGAAAATGCAATTTCTGTCCTGCAATTTAAAAAGCATAAGGTTTTCCTTTTTATTTACATCGAGAGAGAGATGAAATAGAGATAAATGAATTGGAAAAATGAACAAATTAATAAGCAGAAGAATTCATGAGTTAAACCAATATCTAAATTAGATCCATATTATATAATCCCAAAAAAACACAAAAGCCAGATATAATCAAGCATTTGCAGGGATCGTTTAGGCAAGTTGAGTCTCCCCGAACCCTTGCATGTGATTAGCATCCGTTGGCAGCAATGGAAATTCACCAAGCTCTTGAATGAAACCATCCAAATCTGTAAATCCACCTAAGAACCCACCTGAATTTGGACCATTCCATATTTCTTCTTCCTCTTTAACGCTTTCTCTAGACCCCAAAGTACTCCCAAACCCGCTCCTTAGCTCAACTTTCTTGGTCATAACAGGCTTGTTGTCACATAAGTAGTAGTTGTTGTTGTTGCAGTTTCTTGGTTGATCCTGTGTTCTTGCGCTTCTTGCTTTCTTCTTGCAACCCCCCTTTTGAACAGTTGGTTTCCCTGTAAGTCTTTGCACCAACTCTCTGAAGTTTGCAACATCCGTCTTGATGATTTCGGGAGCAAAGATGTGAATTATGCGTATCTTTGGCTTGACTTTGTCTATTGTGTGTGAATCTTTATGCATGGTTAGTGGTGATGCAGGAGTGATTGAACTATGCATAAACGCTGGTCGTTTCCTCATCATAAGATCCTCCATTAAAATGAAGAGAGAAAGAGAGATCAAGTGCGAGGTGATCAGGGAGTTGGTGGAGTTGTTTAGAGGAGAGGAGAGGGTTTCCTTATATATAAAGGGGGGGAGGAGAGCTGACAGGAAGTGGAAGGACAAGGGAGAGATTTTGAAGAGAAAAACAAGCTAGCTGTCTGCTGTTGTGTGAGCCAAGAGATAGTCAATAAAGTAACAGAAGCCATTTTGGTCCCACGATCTCTATAATTAAGATTAAACTCTTCAAATTTTTAATTTGAATGTATACAACTGTACTCTTCTAGGCTTGCATTTTGAGAGAGAAACATGATAATGTTTTCAATCATGCTTGAAATGACTGAAGAGGCCCTGTTCTCTGAATCTAGGTTGATTCTGGGCTCGTTCGTAATGCTTTTAAATTCCATAGTTCTCCCTTGTTTTGGAAAGAAAAATGTGCTCTAGTGGTTTATTGTCTTCATGACTTCCTCTCATCAAATTCATGCATATACCAGCGCTAGCAAGACATCAGCAGCAGATAAATTGTTTCTCCTTATATATACTCTGCTTCAAAGAGAAATAATTAAGGGTTCATGATCTAAACAATAGACTTTATATGCATATTAAAATATTAAAAAACCATTTTTTTATTCTTTATATTGAAATTTCTGTAGCTGTATATAGCAAAATGGCTTGCTTATTTTCTTGAGCGACCAAGGGAAGGCTCCCTTTTGGGTCGATCGAGAGTGTCAATTTTAAAAAAAAAGAAGCTATACATGATCATGGTTTGATATCGATTAGTCTTGCTGCAACAATATTATTCATTATTTAATGTTCCTTGAATCAAGTTTTTGGGAGCTTAAGTAGGATTTGATTTATTAATTATATTTTATATATAGAGCAATAGACAGCAATTAACAAACTGGGTTTGCTTAAGACACCCACACAGACGTGGAAAATCTTACAGACATTAATCACAGAACAACTAATGCATCATTGTCATTGGACAATTAATCTAAAGTAGAGTTGCTCTCCTTCTTGCAACATATATATGTTAGATTCTTCTTCTTCTTCTTCTTCTATTATCAATGTAGCAGAAGACATACATAACCCCCAACCTTCTGGATTGAGTTTACTTCAACACCCCCGACAGGAGGACAAATTAACCTAAACAATTATACTTATCATCCTTGTTGACGAGCCCAAAATTGTAAAGTGGGCAACATCCTAAATATGGGAGGGAGGTCATGAAGTGTATAATTTTAGGTTTGTGTACAGTGATTCCACTTCTACTGCGACTACTTGTGATGACAAAGAATCCGCGTAGTCGGAAGGAACAAAAACGAGTGTCATGGCCTCCATGAACGGCAGCCGTAACACATCGTGAGCG